CACTTTTGTTGAAAAGGGGTGTGAGCTCTGTTTTGTAAAAAGAACTTCAAACTGTGATGATCAGTTTTAATAATAAAGTGTCTGCCTTGAATGTAGGACTGCCACTTCTTGATTGCATGCACAATTGCCAACATTTCTCGTTCATAAGTGGACATTGCTTGAGCTCTAGGACCTAATGCTTTGCTTGTAAAAGCAATTGGTTTACCACCTTGATGTAAAATAGCACCGATTCCAGTATTGGAAGCATCAGTTTCTATTGTAAATTCTTTGGAGAAATCTGGTAAAGCAAGAACTTGGGGAGACACCATAATATCCTTGAGAGCTTTGAAAGCCATAGTAGCCGCATCAGTCCACTGGAAGGCATCCTTTTTCGTAAGAACTGTCAGGGGTCCACAAATCTGCCCATAGTTCGGAATAAACTTGCGATAATATCCCGTAAGGCCAAGAAATCCCCGTAAAGCCTTAACAGAGTGAGGAAGAGGCCAATCCTGTATAGATTTCAGTTTAGAGGGGTCTGCAGCCACCCCTTGCCTGGACACCACATGGCCTAAGTATTCAATTTGGGACTTACCAAAATCACACTTGGTTTTCTTGACAAATAACTGATGGTCTTGGAGGACATTGAAGACCAGGGACAAATGGTGAAGATGGGATTCCCAAGAGGCACTGTACACTAAAATATCGTCGAAGAAAACCAAAACAAACTTCCTCAAATAGGGTCTGAAAATCTCATTCATCAAACTTTGGAAAGTAGCTGGGGCATTTGTAAGCCCAAATGGCATTACTAAAAATTCATAATGACCATCATGGGTGCGAAATGCTGTCTTCTCAATGTCACTAGGATGTACTCTGATCTGATGGTAGCCCGCTCGCAAATCCAACTTCGAAAAAAATTGAGCACCAAATAACTCATCCAACAATTCATCAATTAATGGTATTGGATACTTGTCCTTGATTGTTAACAAATTAAGAGCTCTATAATCCATGCACATCCTCCAGCTATTATCTTTCTTTTTAACTAGCAAAACAGGGGAAGAAAATGGGCTGTTGCTAGCTCGAATAAAACCCGAGTCTAATAATTCCTGGACACATTTCTCAATCTCAGATTTTTGTAAAGGACCATACCTATAAGGCCTTGCACTTGGAGGCTTGCTGCCTTCCAAAAGAGGGATTCTATGGTCATGAGAACGGGAAGGAGGCAGTGTGGTTGGTGCTTGGAATACAGAAGCAAACTGAGATAATAGACTATCCAACTCAGTTGTTTGAAGAACAGTGAGATCCCCAACAATAGCAACCTGAGTCTCGGGCTCAATGAAGAAAAGAACTACACCAAAAGGACCTTGAGACAACAACTTCTCCACTTGACAGGTTGAAATGGGCAGTGGTGAAGGGGGAGGAGAACTACAAAGACAATAGTGCTTCCTACCCAATGTAAATTCCATTTTGAGTTTGTCAAAATCCCAAAGAATAGGACCCAAAGTTCTCAACCATTGAGCTCCTAAAACCACATCACAACCACCCAATTGTAGTACATAGAAATCAGAAATATACTCATATTGTTGAATCTGCAACTTAATCTGAGAACAACAACCCTTACTGGCAATGGTTCCCCCATTTGCAATCATTACCTCAAAAGAATTATTAGAGTCAACCTTCCAACCCAATTGTTTGGCAGTAGACAAGCTGATGAAGTTATGTGAGCTACCCGAATCCAACAACACAACAACTGGGCAATTTTTTATGAACCCAGAAACCTTCATAGTTTGAATATGTTGAGGAGCGGATGAACCAAAAACTGCACAAGCTGTAATTTCAATTTGTTGATCATCTTGACCCTCACCCCCTATATCCTCAATCCTATCAGCAGAAAGGTCTAATAGTAGTAATTGCTGAGTAGCACAGACATGACCCCGAACCCATTTCTCTGGACAAGAATAACACAACCCCTTTTTCCTACGATCTTGAAGTTCTTCAAAGGACAGTTTCCTCACATTACTAGCCCGCGATGTGCTAGAAGAAGAATTATGACCAGAGAACAGAGGCACAGATTTTGAGGTGGTAACATTACTGAAAGAAGACGCAGAATTTCTGGAGAAATGTCGAACCTTGGTATCTGAGAGTTTGATGTCCAATTGGAAAGCCAGAGCAATTGCTTCATGTACATCAGATGGCCGAAGCAATTTGACATCGTGGCGCAACTCCGGTATCAGTCCTCCAATGAAACAACTGCGTAGCATTACTGGACCAATCTCCGTAGTCCGATTCGCTAACCGACGAAACTCAGAGACGTACTCCTTAAGAGAACCCAACTGCTTCAATTGAACTAGGGCTTCGGTAAAGTCCTCGAATTCAGAGGGCCCAAATTCTTTACAGAAGACATGAACAAAATCTTTCCAATTTGGATAATTCTTGATGCAGTTCCGCCATTGAAACCATTGTAAAGCTTCATTGTCCATATGGAAGGAAGCCATTCGTACCTTTTGTTTATCGTCGACAGTGAAGTAATCGAAATAGTGCTCTGCCCGGTAAACCCATGCCAAAGGATCATCGCCATCCGAGAAGCGAGGAAACTCAAGCTTGATCAATGGCGGCCGTGGTTGAAATGACGAATCTTGACGGGAAAAACGCTGACCCATATGATCAATTGGATCCGAGAAGGTTTCTTCAGAACTACCCATGGGATTTGAAGAATTTCCATGAAGAGGACGATCAGTACCCGCCAAATGAAATTCCAAGGCTGCGAATCGCGACTCCATGGATGCGATTACAGTGGACAAGTTCTGCATTGTTGACCCGATCGTCGCGACGGAAGATTGGATTTCTTGAACCGAACCTTCAAGAGCTGCAACTCGTGTATCCATAGTTTTGGCACGCGTTGTTGCTCGCGTCATACAAGAAGGGAAACGTGGAGGATTGTTACTGGCTGATACCAATAATAAGACCCTTGTTCTAACCTTGCACCTGTATGCTAGTATTTCTCTTGTATTACTTCAACAACATCTTTTACAAATCATACCCTGCATTTGCACAAGTGTTCAGTATTTATACCAAACTGCAAGCTAAGGCAGTTACAAGATATTTCCCAAATCTTATCTCTAACCACCCAATTATTATTGGTACTAACAATCAACAATTACTAACAGATAGGATGCTTAGCACTAACATCCAACAATACTAACAGCATAACAGCATCATAACAGCATCCTAACAATGGAGAGCCGCAATGGCTACAGTATCAAAGGCAAAGATATGACAGATACTATTGCTCTATTTTATTTGTGGCCAAGGCCAGTCCATATATAATTCACCTAAACTTTGCTTTACAATTACTTCCAAGGCAAGATGCATAAAGTCGTTAGCCAAATGAAAGGAATGTGCATAAAGACCCAAGATTAGCTTCGCTGTCAAGTTTGTGGCTTTTCTCTTTGAAAAAAGATTATTTATGTGCATGTTAATGGATTTTAAAACATTGCAACTTATTCTAACTTTATATACATTTGTAATTGTATCAACATCATGAATGTCACAATTAGTTGTCATGCATATCTCGTACATTTTATTTCATAACATTTCATGCAACGTTGTGCGAAAATGGATGATATGTCATTATAATGTTATATTACTTATGAATGCATGTTCTTAAACAGAGTTCAAAATTTTTCCACCTAAAATTCTCTATGACCTTTCTAGCTACGACTTATTTACTTAAGTGACACATGTCTTTCTGACTTAATTTGTCTTTAGTTTTTTTATTTTTTAGGAGACAAATTGAAGTGTTAATACTGTTAAGTGGGGTTTAAATGAATGACCAAGTGTCAACAATGACATAGGTCACAGAGATGTCACATAAGATTTTGGGTGCAGAAGATTTGATCTCTCTTACACTAGGCATACAAGATATTGAAGCAAAAACGTACAGATAATTAATTGTAGCTAGCTAGTTTGGAAGATTCATTTGTTTAAGTTAGGAAATTAATGTTGTGATTAGTAGTGAAGTAAAGGTCTTTATAGTTTGTTACTGGGGTTGATCTGCTGGCTTGTTGTATAAGTAGACATGCATTTTCAGCGTGTGACATGCTGAGAGCTCAGAGATTTTGGGTCCCGTCTGCTCGTACAACATTTGACACAAAATTAAATCAAATACATCAGGGAATCAAGATGAGTGGTATACATTGTTCATTTGATGCTTCAATTATCCTTGTATTATTGAGGATAAAAGGCAAGACACTAGCTAGCTAGCTTGGAGACATGCAGATTATAGATTGTCTCAATGTTTTGTTGTCATCCCATTGAACCCAAATTATTAATAATTTAAAATCTAATAAGTTGCCCACAGGTTTATATCATGGGGTTACACTGCTAAACACATGTAGAAATTGATGATTTGATCCCACCGATCAATTTTCAGTGCTTAATTGTGTCAAATCTTTATGAAAATTATTCGAGACTTTTTTGGTTTTTTATACTAATAACAATCATGAGACCTTAATCATTCCACAACTATATTAAACAATATGGTAAAAACATCATAACACTAATAGCAAAATCTATCATTTTACCCAAATAACTATTTTCCCACTTTCACTCGAAAAGTAGTAATATTCCATGCATAATCAATTGTAAGATCCACAACTTTATCATTTCAGAATTCTCTTCAATTGGCCTAATGTAGTTTTCCAAAGCAACATTTCTTGTAAGGAATTATACACTAATCTCTTACTTTTTTGTTTACTTTGTGATGCGAGAAGAGATATGCACATAATTGTATACAACTGTTACATATATGCCACCTTCAACATCATTAGTACAACTTGAGAAAACAATTTGCGTAGAAGAAACTACCCTTGAAAAACAGATTCAGCATTCAGCAGCTCCCAGTTGATATACACAACTTGAGAAAACAATTTTCGTAGAAGAAACTATCCTTCAAAATCAGATTCAGCACCAACAACTCCCAATTGACATATATAAATTTTTCATCAGAAATTAAAATGGTAGAATGAGCTCAACTGTAGGTATGGCTTTCAATATAACACATATGGTCCTTGTAAGCTGAAGTATGATACATAAATTAAACAAAGCAAAATTCAGTTAATCAGTTTGGATTCTCGTACAGTCACTTATAAAGAAAACCTACAAACTAATAGACCCTCTGCGAACCATATGGACACATCCAGGTTGAAAACGCAGCTAATTAAGTTGTTACTTGAAACTTTGTCAATGATGACAGGCTTCAGTCAGAATCTGCTGCAACACAGAAAAGTCTATGCATGTTGGATCGCTAACCTGTGAAGTTACAAATGAAAAAATTGAAGTAATCTTGTTTTAATCAGAACTAATTAAGCTGCGAAACATGTACTACCTCAGATTGGATGGTGTAGACAAGTCTTCTGTTAACCTGGGTAGTAGAACAGCTGATTACATTAAGTCCTTGTCCAAGCAGTATTTTAAGCATTCTTGATAGGAGAAAACCTTGCTCTGGAGATCGGCCGGTACTGACTACAATCTCAACGCCGGCTAAGCAAGGGTGGACTGCAACTAGGGTACTTGCTGCAGTTGATGAGCTACCACTGCTCCCATGGCCAACAGTACTAGCACTCAAATTGGACAAGCCTGACCCCATCTTTAGCTCACCTCTCTTGGCACCAAATATTTTGATTCTCGTTTGCAGCTGTTTGATATAATTCACTGCCTCGTTCATATGATCCGCCAACGAACGTTTTCCCTGAAATAATCCAACAACACAATTATGGTCGAGGATAAAGCCCTAAAATTTGACAAAATTGGTCAAAACCCAAGAAAAAAATTGACAAAGTAATAAACACTTACCGATCGTCCCTAAAAATCTGTTTAGTAAGCAAGAAACAATTTTTGGTGCCTAGGGTACTTTAATCACAGGGAAATTGAACCAAGTAGGGAGAAATCAAAGTGAAAGAAGTATTTAAGGTTCGATCTTTACCTTGACAAATTCAAGAGGAAGTACAGATCGAAGTGATCCATAAAGGTTGGCCATTTCTTGCCTTCTCTTCTTTTCGATTTCTCTATGCATCACCTTCTTTTTCTCATCATCGTCATTTGACTTATCTTGATTTTTCGCACCATCCGAAGTCAGGGCTAATGATGATTTTCTCCGCTGGCCTCCTGTATTAAGGTTATTGAACATACCGACATCCATTGAAGTAGCATATATGTGACAATATCAGATCTCCTGAGATTCTATTTTGGTCGAAGGAATAAATAGATGAAATACGGAAGACCAACTCTCATATTTCGTTGCTGTAAAGGAAACATTGGATAATAGAATACTCAAACCGCTCTTCAAGGTTTTTTCGCAGAGCGGTAAAGAAGGCAAAATAGTTTATCTGTTAGTTAGGGTTTTAGATCTTCGATAGACCAAATAAAAGATTCCCCAAAAAGTCTCTTGTTGGGCGCTGTGCCTATGTTGAAATATTGCGAGTTTGCAAACCAGCCACCCAACCCAGCCACCCACTTTCTCTCCAGTCCCCTATCTCCCCAACCCACGTTTGTGTTTTTTTATTTTTTTTATTTTTTAAATTTTAAAAAAAATGTTATGACACTTCAAAACAGTCATTCTACACTTTTTATAAATGTATTTTTCTGTTAAAAATAATAAGTTTGGAATGCATAATAACTTTTTGGGTAAATCTCAGTTTATTACCCTCAAGTTTTGTGGTTTTCAACATTTGGTACATGAAGTTTTTTCGTCCCAAAGTTATACCCGAAGTGTTAATTTTGGGATAGTCTCATACATCCGTTAGTCTGACTGTTAAATTAGTCGTTAACTGATAACGTGGCGCCCACGTGGATAATGACTGGACGCCACATGTCAATATGGGGCCCACGTTAATATTAAAATTTTTTAAAAATAAAATAAAATTTTGGGTGTTCACCCTTCCTGACCCCCTTCCTCCTTCTGCCTCCTTTCTCTTCCTTACACCCATCCTCCCCATACACCCACCCATTCCCCTCATCTCTCTCTCGGTATAAAAAAATGGGTCGTCTGGTTCAGCTCCTTCCCTGTTGCCGTCGAATGGAACCAATTCAAGGAATGGAACAGGTCGAGTTCGGGTTCATACCGAGCCGACTATGTTGGAGAATTGCAAGGTTTTGTCAAAGAATTATAAGGTTCGATGGACGTTAAGTGTTGAGGACAATCTGATCGATATCAGATTGGAGGCCGCCACTAGGACCATGAATTACATGGCTTTCGGGTGGGCCAACCCGAATTCGACTTCCGAGCTCATGCTCGGAGTTGATGTGTCCGTCGCAGGGTTCAAAGAGGATGGCATGGCGTTTGTGAAGGATTTTTACATCACAAAGTACAGTGAGTGCACCTTGTACAAGGACGGCGAGGTGATGGGGGTTTGCCTCGATTCCAGATACAAAGGGTCCGGCCCGAATGGTGGAAGAGAATAAGTGGTCTGGTTCGGCTCCTTCCCCGTCGCCGTCGCATGTAACCGATTTAGGGAACGAAACCCAAACAAATAACAGTGATGAAATCATGAGGAAGTTGAAGTATCTTGTCCCAGGAAGCTTCTGGATGTAACAACTTGGCAAATTTGAACAGTGACAAGTGACTGTTTTGGTGCTATGGCTGTTGCTGCTGTTGATCATTCAATTTCATTGATTTACTTTTCTTTCATGCTTCGAAAAAATCACAACCTTTCATCCAAAACCCAAAACCTTCACAAAATTCAGTAGGTTTTCGCCGAACTTGTAGAAAGGCAGAGCTCGTTAAGGTTTACATTGTCGACCTTCGATAACACCGACCTATATGTGCGGTGGCGAGGCCTACATCATACCCAGATAGATGGAAGATGAGCGGGTAGATGAGTGCAAATGAGAGAAGGAAGGGAGAAAAAGAAGAATGGGTGGGTGTGCGGGGAGGATGGATACAAGGAAGAGAAAGAAGGGAGAAAAAGTGACACACCTCGACCCGGAATGTCCACTAGGACCCCGAATCGAGCTGTGAAGGCTGACACCTAGACGGTGACGAAGCCATAAAGTGTGATAATGTATAAAATGTGAATAAATTAAAATCTAAAAATGCCTAAGTACATGAGTGCGCGATGAGCGAGTCTGGACCCATTTCACGCATGATACAGAGCATATGTATAGTACAGTAAGGTAAGATAATGATTATACCATCATAAGAAGACATCTGTACTGAAAAGTGCCACGAATCCTCATCGATACGGAACTTTGCTGCTAGAACCTGAAGGGGTGCAAAAATAGAAAATGTGAGTGAGTGAAACAAAACTTTTCAAACCAATTTCAATTACCAAAGGCAGTAGCCCCTCATCGTAATACCTGTATAACTTCCCAGAAAATAACAGGCGTGACTATAACTCTAAAGTTTAACCAAAGTAACAGTTTCACAGTTATGTCATGTCAAATATCTCAACAAGAATAAGTAACTCAGGTGAAATAAATCAATATTAAATGGTATGTCAGCCGGATCCACCTATTGTGGCCTGTACGGCTGAACCAATAGCTTATCAACATGCTAACCGAAGTTACCTCACATGACCTGTACGACTTATCCATATCTCATCAATCAATGATAGCATATAAGTCAGGAGTCACCTATAGTGACCTGTATGACTTATCCATATCTCATCAATCAATGCTAGCACATAAGTGGGGAGTCACCTATAGTGAACTATACGACTTATCCATATCTCATCAATCAATGCTAGCACATAAGTCGGGAGTCACCTATAGTGACCTGTACGACTTAATCTATAGCTCATCCCTGCACACGAGTCGGAACCACCTCTAGTGGTCTGTACGACAGGACTGGGTGTAAATAAGTACGCTTAGTGCTACGATCATGTGAAGACTGTGAGAATAATTGCGGGTCGCCTATAAGTCGGAACCACCTATTGTGGTTTGTACAACATGCCTGTGCACCTACCTTGAGTCCAAGGTAAGCGTAAGGTGCGGGAGGTGAACATCACGTGAAGGACTGTACCCTGGCCATATGCGGGAGCACTAACACCAGGGTGCAGGTTTATGAGCTCTCAATGCACCTCAATATAACATGTACAACTCATGGGCAACTTGTACGATAGTGTCAAAGTTGCCTAACACATAAATGTAGTCATGCTATAACTCCATCAATTCAACTAATACCATAAACTCACTTGAACTTACCTGGGTGTCCTGCGTTCACCTTTGCACTTTAAAGCATTCACAATAATTGTGTGCAGGTAATATACATACGGATATACCATGATGCAATCTAATACTTAACCATGTCATAGCATTTTCAATTATATACATACATATATATATATATATATATAATATGGCATAAAATGCATAAGCTGTAACGCCCTACTCCCGAACTATTTATTTTTGGGATAATCATCGGTGATAAGCCCAACTAGACACAGTTTAATTAACTATCATTACTTACGTTTCTTTACTTTAATTTCTTGATTCTTCACACATTGATTTATAACCAACATTTAACCACCACCACATATGGTTAAATCTCACATTTTACACCAATGTCCCTTACATTGTTCAATTCCCCAAACAAAGCTATTGTCTTAGTTATTTAATCTCACCTCTTGTATGGCTGCATCTATAGTCTCGTTAGACTGCCTACGTACCTTAAATAGGGATCAAGTCATTCGTAGTACACGCATGTACTTCTAAACATTCACAGAAATTATATGAAATATTCAATTTATAAATGTTTGTGAAGATGTCAATCTTATACACACACACACACACACACACACGATATAAGGGAAAAGACCCACTCACCTTAGGTCCGCGCTACAACTCCTAAGCAAGAATATCGAGACGTCACGAATGATCCTTACCTAGAACAATTATTCATTCATGTCTCAGAACTCTTATCCATAGAACCCGTAATTTACATAAAACACATCCTAAGGACGTTCTACAATGATTTGATATCCATTGACCAAAAGTCAACCTTCGGTCAAAGATCAACGGTAGGGTCCACGACCCTATGTAACTCAATCCGGAAGATCCGCATCTTGGATTTCTAATCCGAAACTTCTAAAGATCCACATTATACTTCTAGAACATAATACTAAAGTTTCATTATGATTCAACGATTGGATCTTCGCTAATTGCCAATTCAAGTGGCAGTCAACGTTTTATTTTACGAACATATAATTCCAATTTGGGAAGATCCGTACGTTGGATTCCCAATCTGTAAGTTCCTACATTCTTCAAATATTACGTACTACAATGTAACAAAGTTTGGTGACGATCCAACGGTATAAATACCTATTAACCTATCGTAAAGAATTTAGGTTCCAACGATCAATCTACGTCATTCAAATATCAAAACTGAAATTAAGACATTTAACATAGCCTAAAAATAGCATTGGCAGCCCACTGACCAAGCGCCGCCGTGGGTGGCGGTCGGCCGTCCCGACTCGTCGGAAAATCCAACTATTTCTAAAAACTCTCAAAAATTAAAAAAATGAAGATCTCAAAGAGTAAAGCAAACTTTAGACCTGTGGCTAAGGCCAATTTGGTTGGGAAAAGCCCTAATTTCTCTTAAGCCCATTGGAAACCCTAAAAATGGGTGTTTTCAATTCGACTCCAAAACCGTTCTAACGCCCCAACCACTACTTGGGCTTTGTTTCAGAGCTCAAGGGGAGGCTAATGATGGTGGAGATCAACAGAATTTCATTCAAAAATGATGGATCGCCGTCAATGATGTCATTGGCATCATGCTTCTTCTTTCACGAAATTGAACTCCAAGACCCTTAAATTTGAGCTAAAGTGGTAGATAGGGAGTTGTGGAATAGATTTTGGATGAAGGAATGGTGAAATTCGACTGAAATATGGCGGAAATCGGCCCGAATCAAACCGGGTCATTGCTGGGTACACAGGTCGACGGGTGAGCCCGTTTCTCCCTCATTTTCTTATCTCTCCTTTCCCTTATTTCTTCTCTTTCTAATTGGGCAGCTTCTTCCTCTCCCTTCTCCTAATTCATCCAATCCTCATCTCTTCTAATGGATAGGGCAACAACTCTCTCCATTTCTCTCCTCCGGTTCTGCCTTTTTTTTCCTCCCCATAAAACCCTTTTTCTTTTCTTCCTCCCTTTCTTTTCCAACCACCCCTAATAATAAATATAATAATAATATGAAATGAATGAAATAATAAATAACAATCCTTACCAACATACTTTTGGAATACAGTAAGGTAATCGTTCATACGCGTCGTGAACTAGCGATCAACGAAAATCAATACCCTTGCTACTGGGGTATTCTCGTAAATTCACATGTTAAAATTTATAAAATCATAAAAATTAGGGACGGGTTATCACAAGAAGGGATAGGTGAACACCCAGAATTTTTTTTTAAAATTTTTTAAAATTTTAAATATTCATGTGGGCCTATATTGACATGTGGCATCCAGTCATTACCACATGAGCGCC